TTACGGCACTACTTTTTGGACAATGTCACAAGATAGTGATTATCAGTCTTCAGGATATTTTTTTTCGCCAAAAAATCATTTAGCAATACGCTTTTTCTTTGTAAACCAATAATAAGCTGTGAATAACGAAGTCGAAGCAGAAGGGCTTAGCGAAAATTTTGTGTTCAAGTGAATTAAAGTGAAGCGAAATAGTGCAATGCAATACAATGGGATGGGATGGAGTGGGATGGCACAGCACTTGTGAAAGTAAGGGATGTGAAAGGCGAGGATTTGAAGGAAAAAGTGGAGAGGAGTAAAGAGTGTTGTACAGACGAGTTGGATTGGGTTGAACTGAGGCGAAGGGTAGTGCAGAAGTGCAAGTAGAGTGACGTGGAGTGAAGCGGAGGTGACAGTGGGATAATGGAAAGTGGAGAAAAATGGGAGGCGAGGAAGGGGAGATAGGGGTGGTGTCGGAGAAAGGGAGAGGCGGTTATCAGAAGTGAAAGGGATGCAACTGAGCAGACTTATGACTTAACTTGTCAAAAAAAATTAACAGTTTGTGAATAGTACTTCCACAAAAGTGGTAAATCACAAGCACATGTTCATTGAAAGGAAAATTTCATCTTCTTTATATTAAGAGCTGCCGAGAGGGCACTTCTTTGTGCCATCTGCCAACCTCACACAAATCTTTCGTCTCCTAGGCAGCCTAAATGGGCTATTTGTTGTCTTCATTTTCTTCAAAAAGTAATGCTTTTTCAAGAACAGTTTGCCAATGGTTGGTGATTATTTTATCAACAGACTATAATTTAAAGCTCAAACGAAATGGCTGTTGAAGAGATTTGCTTTGGTTTCCGTTTTTAAAGTGATTGGGTCTTTGTAAAAAGAAGGTCTATCATATGAATTTATCATAGAGCAGATATATTTATCAGTAAGAGAAAAATCATTTCTCTGTCAAGCATTTCACGTATTCAGGTCGAAATCGGATGTGACAATGAGTATGGCTAAGCCGCCACCCCAACTTGGGGATTTAATAATTAGCTTAAATCATGTGCTTGTCTAAAAAGTAGCCAAAATCAGATTCTTACGACTTCGTAGTAGTGGAATTTATCAAAAAAGAGAGGGATTTAGAGTCCTAAAATTGTAAAATGAGCCTACAGGTCGGGGAGTTGGACACACCCTCCACCTCCACCGCCACCCCATGGCACTCTGTATCCTTGATTCAAGAGTGGGAAGACCAACTTGGCGACTTTATTAGTCCGCTACCTTCAAGAAAAACTAGTTGTTTGCATTTTATCCACACCAACATTTGTTTGGAAAGCCAAATGCATACATTGCAACTGGAAATTGGTGATCTTTTCTGAAGACATTCTGACCGCTTGTCCATCGACTTCTACGGCCACACCTTTTACACTCACAAAATCCTTACAGTAAATTTGTTACCTGTTATTTCATTGCCCTCGAAATTCCGCCTACAGCCAATCCCCCTGCATATCGAAAAGGCCAAACCGTCGGTAGTAATGCCTGACACATAACAATTAATCTTTCCAACAAGTAATTTGGAACTACCACAAACCAGATAATAGGAGTAAATATTTTTGTCTTTATTTAGACTACTATTTTCGGATGCAGCTCTACCTACTTCACCGCATAACGGTGCAATTACTAATGAAATAAATTACTGATGTTATCGAAAAGAAATGAAGGGGTGTTGAAGTGGACTAATGGACCATACGACCACCCAAGGGAAAAAACCACTTAGTAATTCATGAGTTGATGCAATTATAGTAAAGTAGATATACATACAGTGGTAGCTTGCCCGGATCTTTAAAGAACAGAAATCGGGCAAGAAATAAGTCAGGAGAGTAGTACAACTTTAAGGGCGGAGTTAAGCTTATGAGGCGAATAGAAGGAGGCGCACAAACATACGTCGCTTTAAGCTGTGGAATGTTTCTTTGTCTTACAAAACTCACCCATTGCTGCCTCAACTTCCCTTTTGTGTTGTCAGTCCTTCACTCGACGATACATCCTCACGCTGACAAGTTCTTCTACGCGTATTGTCTAAAAAAAGGAGGAACTGACAAATTAAATAAGTCTTCCGTTAGGTAAATGCTTAAAGAAAATACACTTAAAGTGCAGACTTTTGTAAGGGACAATTAAGTAGCATTCGCTACACCACTCGATCCCCCCGCTGGTAGCATGGGTAAGCCTCCTCCTGCCACCTCTATTATCGCCCCATCCATAAGGCTTTAATTAAGCCGCTTCTCCGATTTACTTGTTTTACTGCACCTCTAGAGACGGGTGGGGTGGAACTTGACAACTTTGACAGCTGACGGTGGCAAACCTAATAAGGCCTTTTGCACCTCAGAAGAAACACTGAAGAGAAGCAAAAATTACGTCCTCAAACTTATAAATAATTAATTTGTTTACTTTAACCACCAGGTAATCTGAAGAAAGACAGTCTTTCTACCTAGTCTTTTAATCATAGGATATCTTACTTATAATTAATTAAGATAGAAGGAGAGAAATATGGAAATGGTAATTATTTTATTACTGAAAGACTGTCCAAGTCATTTTCCTTCTCCTCCTTTAAAAATAAAATTAAAAAGAAGAAGAGAAGGAAAGGGGGAAAAGGAGGCAGCGGATCGTTTTTTTGTACCGAAGATGTCACCGACTGGGGGAAAATCCGTACTTCCATTTAGATAATTTTTTCAGACAATAGGAACCACATTTTCTTCTGACATTGATTTGTTTTGTTCGTAAAAAGTTTTTTTTCCATGATTTAGCGTAAAACTGCCTGAGGGGAGGTTCCCATTATTACTACCTAATCAGCAGATTTAGGCAGACTTCTGCTTGTAGGGGAACTTTACACCACTTTTAGTAAGTGGAAAATTAAAAAGACTCTTTTTTCAGCGATTCTTTCAAAACCCGAATAATCAAGGTCTGGTGTTTTTTTTCTGACATTGGTTAAATAGGCCCTAGTCAAGTTAAGAAATGTCTCTGACCAAATCCCAAAAACGTAAGAAGAGGGAAGGCGCTTAATTTTATCTCAAACATGGAAAATATTTGGGCGGATGTAGTCAATCCCTATCGCTTCCTGTTCTCCTTCCCTCTTTCGAGGTTAGAAGTATTTCCCCATGAAAATATGGGCTAAGCCGGTGATATGGAGGGACAGTAAATTCCCACTGCCCATAATCTCATTAAACGCAATTTAAAAGGGGTACGTTCACGCCTTTCTGAGGTGCCCATTTGAGCCGATGCTAACCTCAAGTAAATAAATTAACTGCAGAAAAGTCTCCTTTGAGTTTTGTTGTTCTCTCCCTTCTCGCCTCAAATCCGCAAAGTATTTCAAGACTTGAAGGGGCTACCAACAGAATGCATCGCGTAAAATCGCATGAGTTGAAGTTGCGAAGACGAATCCATCAATTGAATCAAGTTGAAAATTTGAATAAATTTAAAAACACACATATTTACTGGAAAAAATATATTGGAAAAGCTAATTTCGTCCGTAATCGGTGAGGAAATAACTCATCTTTCAGTAAGTTTTAGAAAGGAAATTGAGCGT